GTTGCCTTATTCAACATCTATAGTCTATGTACATCCTCATGCTTCCATCCTTCTTCTTCATGAATAACACCGGAGCTCCCTAGGGTGAAAAACTAGGTCTAATGAAATTGTTGTCCAGCAACTCCTGAAGTTGCATCATAAGCTCCTTCATCTCTGTCGGTGCTAATTGGTATGGTGCTTTCGTTATTAATGTTGATCCTGACAACAAGTATATTCGAAACTTTACTTGTCTATCAGAGGCAATCCAGGAAGATCTTCGGGAAAGACTTCCGGATAGTCATACACCACTGATATTCTTTTTCATGTATTTTTTCCTTTTTTGCGTCGATCACAAATGCCAAGTATGATGTACATCCTTTGGACAAACGTTTTATAGCTTTCATTGGGGAAATGATTCCATAATTCACTATACGTTTGTCCCCGTACACCATAAACGGCTCTTTTCCAGGTGGATTTATCTTCTTCCTGCATAGTATCTCGACATCGTTCGCACTAAGCCAATCCATTCCTAGTATGATGTCAAAACTGTTCAACTCAATTGGTAACAACCCCTCATGAAATTTATTTTTGTTCAAATCGGTGATGATGTTTTTAATGATATCCCTAACATGTATGAATTTGCCACTGACAACTTCTACAACTACATCATTATCAAGTTTATGTACAAGCAATGCCAGTCTCCCAACAAATTTATGGGATATAAAATAGTAATTAGCTTAAGAATCAAACAATATATTGGCAGACAATTTATTTACAATAAAGGTACCTGAAGCGACATCTGATTCATCCCTTGCTGCTTCCAGGGTCATTTGGAATGCTCTTGCCTTTGGCCTTGGCAGGACATTAGATCTTACTGTCTCATTCTTCTTCGGGCAATCCCTAGAAATATGCCCTTATTCATTACACCCGTAACACACATTCTTGTTGAATGTGCTCTCATTGGCGTAATGCCCAATCTTCCAACACTTGAAATAAGTCATCTCCTCGCCACATTTTCTAGAGTGTTTCGTTTTGCACTTCTCACACCATCTTACTTCACCTCTTCCTCCAAACTTGTTAGAACCAGACTTCGAACTTGCTTTTCTTCTAGGACCTTGAAGATCCATCCAAATTATTTTTCTCTCCTACATCGGCTCTCTCCAGATCCTTCTCCTTTAATTGGATCTCAACATTCTTAGCTACTCTAACCGTTATCTTCAAAGTGGTTGCCATTTTGATTGTTAGGACAAAGTATGATGACAATCCATTAGAAAACTTCTCTATCTTGGAGAGTTCAGTAGGCACCAAGTAGGGGAATAACTTCATCCCCTCAGTGAATGCGGTGACATAGTCATCATCACTCATCCTCCTTTTCTTCAGGTTCTGAAACTCGTTGTTTAGGTCTATCGGATCTACTTCCGAGCAGTACTGCATTTTCAATTGCTCCATGAATACTTCCCAAGACATCCTCAGGGATTCTCCCCTTGACATTGTATCTACCAATAACTTCCACTAACCTAAAACTTCGGTCTTTAGTTGTCTGACTACAAAGACGGTTTTTCTACTTGTTACTACAGTTGTAGCTTTCAAATATCATTTCCATCTCGGAGATCCAGTCCATAATCTCCAATGACTTTGAGATTCGAGAAAGACTTTGTGTTTTGGAACCCAAGAAGTTCTTATACATATGCCCATCCCTTTCAATCCCTCTATCTAGGTCGTTCCTCCTTACCACTCAGGGTTCAATTTGTGTAACATCCTAAAATTCAAGGCCAAAAATTTCAATTTTAAATAAGTTATTATAAAACCGACAGTACAAGAAAACATCCATAATATCATGTCATGTCAAAACCAAAGTAGAAATAATCAAAACATGTTATCATAAACAATATCAGAGTGTAATCCCAAATATCTCATGTACGGATCCTTTCCTTTTGAAAACAAAGTACCTGAAACCAAAACTGAAAACCGTAAGTATGAAGCTTAATGAGTTCCCCCATCATACCACATATCATACAATAACATAATATGCCAAGCATATATGGGTGTCGGCCTCCCCTTCGGTCTATTTCAACCAGATATCTACCTAGCATATCTGGGTGTTGGCCTCCCCTTCGGTCTATTTCAACCGGATAAATGCCTAGCATATTTGGGTGTTGGCCTCCCATTTGGTCTATTTCAACCATATAAATGCCTAGCATATATGGGTGTTGGCCTCCCCTTCGGTCTATTCAACTGGATATCTTCCTATCATATTTGGGTGCTGGCCTCCCCTTTGGTCTATTTCAACCGGATATCAGAGACTATTTCATCCCCTACCACTACTAAATAGAATCGTAACATACCGGCACATAAAACCTAACAAATGATGACATACCAGAAATTATCACACAGACAATCATCTAACTACAATCTTCTACTAATGGGTTGGCATTGTGGTCGTAAACCCACTTCTACTGGAAGGTAACTCACCTCACACTACTGAAGTCCCGTAGACATAACCCCCAGCTGCTAGATGACAGATTCCCGAACTGTCAATATCAAAACATCACCCAATTAATAATTGGGTTCCAACACATAACCATAAATACATACTTGGGGGTAAATACTACTTTACCCCTAACTTAGCTTTATTCAAGCCCAAGGTCCAAGCCAAAGGCCCAAAAGTCAACTATGAGTCAAAGCCCAACATATGGCCAAAAAATTTCAAATTGGGCCCAAACCTTTACAAGGTCTTACCATAAGGCCCAACCATTTAGTCCAGTCGAACATTCAACATTCTAATGGCCCAATATCACACAATCATAAAGGCCCAAACTATGGCTCATCTATGGCCTAATTTTCCAAATTGGGCACAAGTTCTCATATGGGCCTTACCTCAAAGCCCATTAATTATTATAGTTCATTTGCTTGATCTTGGATGGCCCATTAATAATCTAATCATTAAGGCCCAATAATAAACCCAAGTGAAATTAGGGTTTCTCATAAAATGATGATTAGGGTTAAGTGTTTCTCACTTAACCCATTAAGGACTTAATTTATTAAGTCCATCATTCTTCTAATTAAATCATATGGTATGATTGGGCTTAATACACAATTCCATTCCAATGGCCCAAATGTGGATCCCAATAAGTCCAAGCCCATAAATCCAATATCAGGGTTTTCTAAACCCTAATTAGGGTTTCTAACCCCATCTTAGCACAATAGGCCTAATAGCTAGGTCTTTTGATCAACTAAGGTCCATTAGGCCTATTAGCGTTTCACTAGGCCCATTAGTCACATGTTTGGGCTTTTAGGTAATTTAGGGCTTTATTGGGCCCATTAGGGTTCCATTGAGTCCATTCAGTCAAAACATCCCAAATGATTCATAATATAAACGAGGCACACCGCCACCCGACACGACGGCTGGTGGCGGCAGCCACCAACTCACGGTGATGGTGGTTTTGAGTTTCTTTCATTATTCTTTTGCTAATACATACAACTTGAATCTCAATAACACATACACACACTAACATAAGCACACAGCCACCCAAGTGGTGGCCAGTGGCGGCACACAGCGACAGAAAAAGCTATAATCGGCGGCAACCACCATGGTTGGCTGCCATGGTGGTACACTTGCTTTACGGCGACACAGACCTCCCAAGCACACACATCACACACCAACAGTGGAAAATACAACCACATACACATGCTCTAGTTGCAAAAAGAACATAGCCACCCTCTTGGTGGCGTATGGTGCCTGGCAGCGATGGCACCTACAATCATCGATGATAGTGACGGATGGAGCTTGAACGCGTCACAGAAGCGGCTACCGGTGGCAGTGGACCTATGACGATGCAATAGGAACGAGGGAGGTGGCGGCGACACCTTCACGATTCGGTTACGCCTCCGACAACCACGCCGCGAAGGCGCTCATCATTAAGGTGTTGTTTGTTTTTCTGAAGCCAAAATGTCTGCAGTCTGCGGACCACATCTGCAAGCCTCTGCAGCAGAAGAGGTGGACCAAACATCTGCAGTCTGCAATAAGAAGACTGTTTGTTTTTTAATGTCTGCAGGCTGCTGAAATAAACTGAATTTTAAATAAAATTATTTTACAAACTTAAAATGATTTTTCAACACCAAAATTTTAATAATAATAGTCTTATAACATTGAAAATAAAATTCATGCAACTAAATTAGTCATACAATAAAAAAAAATGTTTTACAATAACAATTTCATTTAAAACAATTCAATGTATATTGTGCATCAACTGATCAGCAATTTCATCACGTAACTGAGTCATATATTCACGGTCTGCTGCAGTACCATGTGTTGGAATCCCGTCTTCATCATCATCAATGGCCACATTGTTATTTCGAAACGGGACATTGGGTTCATCGTATCGTGCGAAATACTCATCACTCAATCCTTCTTTCCTTATATAATTATGAAGCGCGAAGCATGCCATGACAATGTTTCTTTGTGTCACAAACGGGAATGGTGCCATCCTCTTCAATATAGGGAAGCGTGCTTTCAAAACACCAAAAGCACGCTCAATGACATTTCGAAGTTTTGCATGTCCATGGTTAAATTTTTCTTTATTGGTCAATGCACGTCTTTGACGAAAATCTCCAAGCCAATACCTCACATTACGATAAGGGGCCATAAATCCTCGAGTGTGTGCATACGCGGCATCACAAAGATAATATTTGTCTGAAAAAAATGCAAAACACTAATCAATTTTCAAATTAAAATGAAAATATTAAAAAAAAACAAAAAATTACCTGGTGGTGGAAACGGGAATGATGCTTGTGGATCGGCTACTGCTTCTGATAATATTCTAGAGTCATGCGCTACCCCTTCCCACCCGGTCACAACAAATGTAAAAATCATATTGAAGTCACATATTGCCAATACGTTTTGGTAGCAATCTCCCTTTCCCCTACTTCTATATAAGTCTTGTTTCTTAGCAGGGACAACAGCATGTATCAAAGTGCCATCAAGTGCACCAACTGCTCCTTTGAAAACCCTTCGTAGCCTCCTATTATGTCCTGGAATGTTTGGATTCGGATTAAAAGATGTTGGTACTATAACATCTTGTGCGAAAAGCATCATTTTTTCCAACACTTCATAAAAAAATTTATGAATTGTTTGCTTCGAGTGTTGAAATCTCCGCTTGATAATCACGTAACGTTGATTATGTCCGATCATCATCAAAAACATAGCCATCTTTTCCTCAACTGATACATGTTTGCTGTCCTTTAATGAGTAATTTGCTCTAAAATGAGCACATAGTCGTACAAAAGATTCACGGGACATGCGTAATACTTCAACACATTGTAAACGATTACGGTGTAATAACTCCAATGTGTATTCGTGTCCCGTCATTTCCGAATCATTATCCCGCAATCGTTTCAACCCCTCTTCCAAAAATAACGGATGTATAGGTACATTAGAATTACGAGAAGTAACTTTTGATCGTGATCCATATGAACCTAAAATCAACAAAGTAGAACTTTAAAAAACATTACATAAACCATATTTCAAGTATCAAATAAACATTCCATTTATCATATTTCAAGCCAAAATAACATTACATAAACCATATTTCAAGTATCAAATAAACATTCCATTAATCATATTTCAAGTACCAACAAGGGCAAAAAGACCTAACAAAATAGTTCCAACAAAGGCAAAAACATTTAACAAAGTAGTTCCAACAAGGGCAAAAAGTCCTAACAAAATAGTTCCAACAAAGGCAAAAACATTTAACAAAGTAGTTCCAACAAGGGCAAAAAGACTTAACAAATACTTTCAACACTAGAAAATCATCGAACAATCTTCCCATCCTTCAAAACTCCTAAACTGGTACCCGTCATCTCAAGCCACCCTCGTAATATCTCGGGAACATCGGGCAAATGCATCCACATCTCTCTCATGTTCATGGTTCCTCCAAAAATATGATATGCGACAAAGCGTAAAGGATCTGTAGGGCCTAACTGAAGGACCTCTAACTTCTCTAAACACTGAGGAATTGTGTACCCTTTAGTCAAACTTTGTAGAGCTTTCTTCATTTCAAATGCTAAATCGTTAGCAGTAACAGAAGTTCCATCAGGTGAAGAAGCAGACGGTGAGGCACTAGGAGCTACAGGAGTTGAGGGTTTAGCCCTTTTGTTGGGGTTACCGGATGGTGTAGTAGTATATGGTGAACCAGTATATGGTGAACCAGCAGAAGGTGAAGCAGCAGAAGGTGAACCAGCAGAAGGTGAAGCTGCAGAAGGTGAAGCAGCAGAAGGTGGTGGCTCATGATGAGAAGTGTCAACACCATCATCATCCATTGCATCAAAAGGGGTGGCGGTGATCTGAAGTGGTGGAACACGACAGGAGGATGCGCCAGCTACTGATGATGATTGGGTTGAGTAACTCCTAAAATTACCAGTAGCACTATTTCCATCAAAAAGACGTGCACAAAGATCTGGAAAAGGCAATGGAATTGTTCTCAAAGAAGCAGCTTTCGGATGCCCCTAAACCCAAATGTAACAAGAAATAGTATAAGAATATTTGGCAACTTCAAACGTAAATGTTATACATATATATATATATATATATATATATATATATATATATATATATATATATATATATATATATATATATTATATTATATTAATGTATATGTACCTTCTTAAAATCATCCCACTCCTCGGCTGTTAAATTAAAAGTGTTTGTTTGAGAATTGTATATATTACCGGTTTTGTTTTTTAAATATACCCATCCAGTGTATTTGGCTTTCAGATTGTCATATGCGTTTTTCATTTGTTTTTGAGTCAACTCAACCCCAAATTTCTCCTTAAGAACTCTTCCAAGCCTTATCCATGAATCTTTCTGCAAACTCAATCCTTTTCTACCAACACTCTCTACTTCTTCAATACAAGTATCCAATAAGCATTTTAAGTGCTCATTGGTCCATTGTTGTTTTTCTCCCATCTCTAATAACCAAATAACAATAAACAGTGAACAAGTAACATCATTATTTCAAGAAAAAGTTTTTATTTTCACGACAAATTTGTAATTTTGTTTTATTTTCAATCACAATAATGTGAAACTTTTTATTCAATTATAAATAACCTCAATTAGAGTGTTTTAATTCTAATTATAAGCATTGTTGATAATATGGGTGAGTGGAAATTTAACATTGTTGGTGTACATAACCTAAATTACATTCAAGGTATCATATAAGCATCATAAGAACATCATTCAAAACAAATAACAATAAACAGTGAACAAGTAACATCATTATTTCAAATAACAATAAACATCATTATTTCAAGAAAAAGTTTTTATTTTCACGACAAATTTGTAATTTTGTTTTATTTTCAATCACAATAATGTGAAACTTTTTATTCAATTATAAATAACCTCAATTAGAGTGTTTTAATTTAAAGTTTTCTAAAAAACTTTATAAATCAAATAAACTTCACTTTAACGACAAAAACTTTACTTCTATAAAATAAACAAAACTTATGTCTCTTTTTGATGCTTTCTATCATATACATACAAAATCAACAATCATATACATATACACTATCATATAAATATACACAATCAATAATCATATATATATATATATATATACATATATATATACATATATATATATATATATATATATATACAACTTTGAATTACTGCATATTTAAGTAATACAATCAATTCTAATTATAAGCATTGTTGATAATATGGGTGAGTGGAAATTTAACATTGTTGGTGTACATAACCTAAATTACATTCAAGGTATCATATAAGCATCATAAGAACATCATTCAAAACAACAGGAGGCATGCCCAGGCTTGACAATAACATAATTAAACAAAAAATTTGGGTGCTACTGTTACAGGTTTAACATCTAGGTTCAATTGCTAATTGAAGCACAAACACATACACAATTGGACTTTTTCGATCAAACAAACCAAGCTGGAGATGTTACAGGTTTAACATCTCGGTATTTCATTCAAAATCAAATCCAATTTCACATTCAAAGATAAATTACTTTCATTACAAATGTTTTTATTTTACAGCTCTTTTATGAGTTATGCATCAATTAACATAAATTCTGAACTATAGCTTCAATGCAATAGAAAGAAGGGAATAACAGAAAGTCGGGAGAAGAAGGAAGACTGACAGCAGGAAAAAAAAATAAACGAACCTGTGAGGTCGAAGTCTCCGGTGTAGCTGTGGGGGCGACGGTCTCCGGCCGGTGGCTTCACAGGGGAGTCGCTGGTTAACGGCGGCGAGCAGGGTGGAGTACGATCGATCGATCGATCGAGGGTTGTTGTTCGCCGGCTGCTGCAATCGACTATGATGGTCGGAAAATCGGAGGACGCCGGATCGGAGAGGAAGGCGGCGATCGATGGCTTTGATCGGAGAGGAGGGTTGCGACGATGGTGGTCGCTGCAAGGTGGAGCACGATCGATCGATGGAGGGTTTTTTCTGGGAGGGTTGGACGAGGACTGGAGGCGGAAGCAAAAAAAAAAGACGCGTTTTTTTTTTTAGGTTAAAGGGATTGCAGACTTTAGAAGATGCTATCCCATATCTGTGTGGTGAAGACCTCGCGCAGACGTTTTTATGTCTGCGCACTTCAGAAAAACAAACAGACTGCAAACCATTATGTTTGCGCGTGGTCTGCGCCTCGCAGACAGAAGAGGTCACGCAGACCTGCAGAGAAAAAACAAACACCCTCTAAGGCACCAGGTGGCGGCCTTGTCGTCATTGAAGAGCAGCAACAGCAGCGCACGCCATGGCGGTGGTTACGGCTTCTATTGGCAGTTGGGCGACTCCGACTTGTGAAGTAGCAGGGTGTGGATGCAACGTCTCATGGCAGTGACTGAAGAGGAGAAGAAGAATGTTAGAGACTCGGTGTTCGCATGACGGCCATTTGTTGATCAAAAAATGGGGTGGTGGTGGTGCTGGTGAGGGGGCATAAGTATGAGAGAAGTGGCGACTGTAAATCCTTTCTAGGGTTAGGGTTACATGACCTTAAATACCTATCACACCCCCAAACCGGAACGACGGAAACGTTCAGTGACGGAGGACGTCATGTTTAGTATCACAACACATGCATCATAGTAATCAAAGTAACAAACAACCATTGCATTAATATTAAGTGTTTACAAAGTATGATTCACAAAAGATTAACTCCAAAAGTAAATAACAGTATAAGACATGAAGCACTATACTCCATCTTCTGAATCCCAATGCGCGTACCTGTCTACTAGTTTCCTGAAAATACAAGTTATTTTGAAAGAGTAGATCAGCATTTAAGCTGGCGAGTTCATAAGTATTTAAGTGATGAAAAGTAAACTGTAAGTTCTTTAGAAAAGTTTGCCTGTTCCTCCAAAAAATCCTATATTTACTGATATGATGAATGATAAATGAAAATAACTCTACAATTCGTTCTATGAGTACTAAATGGATAAAATTTATATACAATCTAAAGTACACAAACAATCGATTGTGTGAATCTGCCCTAAGCTCACAAATAAACAAGGAACAGGAAGTAAGGCGGAGAGCACACATCCCATTGTTTGTTAGATCTTCATTTTATATTACCTTGATGTATTCATTTGGTACTTATGGAGTTAAATTTAATAGTTCTTTTATATTTGATGAAAACATTCTTTAAGAAAATCATATATTTCTTTTAGTAAAAATGGTAACCGCAATAGTTCCTTCTATAATCACTTAGTTTATACTAGCTATATATAATCTAATATCGAACGAACAGTTAAATGGGTGAACCTGCCCTAAGCCCACAACCAAACAAGGAACAAGAAGTAAGACGGAAAGCACACATTCAACTAGCTATCGGATATTAATTATATATAACCCTGATGTATAAACTAAGGTGTTATAGAAATAAACACTAAGTGTCCTTTAAGTTATATTGGTTTAATAAAATTAATTAAACATTTTATCGATAAGTTTCTAGTTTAGCCTACTAAATGTTCTGTTTAAAAACTATGTTTTTGTACTGAAAAACGGTATACTGAATTTGTATGCTATGACCTGACCCATACTTGATACACCTTATGATTTCTTGGTGTATACAGGATATATATAATTAAGATCGAATAGATAGTAGACCGGGTGAATCTGCCTCTAAGCCCACAATCAAACAAGGAACAAGAAGTGAAACGAAAGCACACATTTTATTGTCTGTCGGACCCGATTAATATATATCCCTGATGTATCTACCGAGGAATCATAAAGTTAGCATTATAGGCCCCCTTCTAACTGAATGTACTAACACTCGACTGTTCTGTTTGTCTTTTTTGATGATGTATGTTTTCCTAAGTTTAAGACTATCTTTACTAGAAAATAGTTTGCATTACCTTTTATGGGAGAATATCACTATATGAATATAATGGGAAAATGAAAGTGTACAATATTGTTGTATAAAGTAACCATTGAAGCACTATCTACCATAAAACCAATTTGTAATTAAGGTTAAAATGTGATGTGGTTATAACCATGCTGACTGACTAGTATTTAACATGACGACTGGCTGGCGTCGAAATTGATGTGATATTTGTCACCCCTTGGCCTGCCGGCCAAACTGTAGCGAACAATCGGGATGCGGGATTGTCAGTCTCGTATAGATCTATACACACAATGTCCGCTCTCCCTCCAGGAGACTCTGGTTACAAAACGCGACATAACAAGTATATTTCTATGTCGTGAAGTAGTGGTTTCACATTATTGTTATCTTGTTCTTGTTATCGTATGTTCCCTCTATTCTTGTTATTGTATGTTCTGAAACCCTAAACTATACCTATTATAGTTTACTAGTATGTTTGTTTTGTATTGTCCCTGATTTGTAGAAAAGACTCGATTATGTACTGAGTTATGATTGTACTTTAAAACAAAGCTTTATAAACAACTATGTAACATAACTTAAAAGAGTTTTTGAATTGATTTGATCACTTATAAAAGCATAAGAAATCCTTTAATGTGATGATTATCACATATAAACATTTACACAATATCATTGTGTTCAACATGTATCCCCCCCACCTTAAAAACATTTTAAAACATTTAAAAGATTGATTATAGGGGTATGAACTCACCTTATGTGGGTGATTCAATTGAAGATTCGAGTAAGGATGAGAAGTTCCACGAATGAAGTCCCGAGGCACAAACGAGTCCTAAATGACATATATTAATACATATATGTATATAGTTAGGGTTTTAACACCACTGACATGAAGGGGAACAACCTTAGGGACTAGGAAACACTTGAAATGAAGTGTTACAATCACATGTGATTGATTAAAGGGAGTTCATGGCCATACAAAGTGTGTTTACGGCCAAGGTAGAGCTTAGTGTGTTTACGGCAAGAACACATGATGTGTTTACGACCCAAAATTGATTCTATGAAGTGGTTTCGGTCCTATTCTTGGTCTTAAGAAGGTTCATGGCCAAAATCATGATCTTATGAAGGGTTTACGGCCAAAGGAAGAGTTTACGGCCGTAAACTCTTGAAGATCATGCACTTATTGTTTGTTTCAAGGCTAGGAATCAAGTGTTTCTTATAGATAACTAGATGATAAAAGAGATACTCACACTTTGGAGGTCCTTAGGGTGTTTGCGGCCCAAGAAACAAGTATGTGTTCTTGGTGAAAAGGATGATGATTTGAAGATCTAACCCAAAAGAGTTGAATTCATGGATGAAATCAAAGGGTTTAACAAGGTCAAGAAAGATATCAAGAAACAATGGAAGAATCACTTACAATATTGAAGATAAATGGAAGTGTTCTTGACGATATTTGAGAGAGAAATGAGTTTCAGTCTTGAAGATGTTAAGAATGATGAAGAAATGAAGGAAATTGATACATAAGGGGATGGGTTCACGGCTGCCAAGAGTTTACGACCGTAAACTCTTTATGATGGAGTTTTTGGCTCTTTTGCAACCCAATGAACTTTTGCTAACACATCCCTACTCACAATAATTGAATGTATTAGGCTTAGAACACTCAAACAGACCTTTAACTATGTTAAAAGATTGCAGAAACAAGTCTGACTTTTGATTGATTGGCTTGACTTTACAGATAGGAATTTACGGGTTGTCACATCATCCCCTATTAGATGGAATTTCGTCCCGAAATTAGCTTTCCTGGCAGTACTCCTAGGGTTGTGCTCCTCCGAATGGCAGAATACCCACTCGTAGACCTGGGCAACTTTGCCCTGACGCTCATGATAAGATTCATACATGGTCTATCTATCATCACCTCATGTATACAAGTCATATATAATTAAGATTAGTAAGACAGTCAGATGTGCGGCTTTCCCCAGTCCCACAACCAAACGAGGAACAGAAGGTAGCGCAGAAACACACATACTAAATCCTCAAAATCATAATTTCATACCACTCTCGCATATACATTTAATAGTGATAGGTGGACGGTATTCATCCCTAGCCTCTGTGGTTGAACTTGATCTATTGGACGAGTGGTAGTTCTGGAAGGTTTGATGAGTTACCTCGGAAAGGTTTCGGAGGGCAAGGTACTCTTCGCATGAGTACTTTGATGTTTTAGAAAACAAGAGACAATACCGAGGTCTAGGTCGGGTTGTCATTACGAATGACGAGGGTTTCGTGAATTTAACGGTCAAGGTGATGGAATTGCGAAACATATGAACTTAGTATGGTGAGGACCACGCCAATCCATGACAAATGATGACAACAAACTATTTACGGAAACAAAAGTTAGGCCGATTTGAAAAGAAACGTTTGTTATACGATGGTGTATCCCTAGTGTGCTCGACGATATAATATGTGAAGACTTTCTAGTGCTTTTAGTTTTCTCCTTGATAAATCCACTGTCACAAATCATACCGCAATGAGCGAGTACTAATAGTGAAAGTGTTTTGATAACTAATGTCGATACTTTATATTATGATCCTCCTCGGTACCTCTATGATCGCTTGGAACATACGAGTTATGTATAATTTAAGATGAATAAGATGGTTGACTAAGTGACTCTACCCTAAATCCACAACCAAAGAAGGAACAACAAATGAGGCGGAATCACTCACTCTAAGCCTGCAAAATCTTAGCTATGTACAACCCTGATCGCTAAACACAAAATTACTATCGTTGTAGTAGCTGTCGACCTCATCGCTAAACACAAAATTACTATCGTGATTTTCGCAATAGGGAATGGGCCTTAACCGCACAACATCAAGGGTTTCATAGAGGAGTTTAGTTATGGATTTGTCAGCCTATAATATTTGATTACGTTGTATGCACCAGTAAAATAGTTTATTATGTGGCATAGACCACCATAACTTTAAATGGATTTTCAAATATGTGCCTTAACGATATATATAAAAACATTAAATAACATAAATATTACTATAATTAAATATGAAATTCATTTATTATGTAAACTATTAATGTATTTCACATTTAATTATAATAACATTCCTCATAATAAATGAATTTTACATTTAAGTATGATAATATTTGTGATATTTAATGTTTTTTATATGTACCCTTAGGCACATATTAGAAAATCTCTATTTGATATTGATAGAATGATAAATAAGAATTACATATATGGAGATATTTAATTTCTCTTTATTTATTTATTTCTAGGTGCTTAAAATCGATATCCACCTGCTGATTTGGTCACCTAATTTAAAGTTGAGAATTTCTAATATGTATCCTAAGGATAAATATTAAATATCACAAATATTATTGTGAAATTCAAT